ACTGAGGTCCTGACTCTCTGTGGTCATTAAAAATCCCAGGGCGTTCCTTGAAAAGAGTAGGGGTGTAACCCTGGTGTCCTGGCCAAATTTCCCATTGGCCCTTACTAATCATGGCCTCCTAATAATCCCCCTCTATGATGAGCTACATTCATTACTCTACATTACTCTTCTCTCCTCCCCACTGATAGCTGATGTGTGGTGAGCATTCTGATGCACTATGGTGAATGCTGCACAGTGGTGGAGGGGAGTCCCTATTACCTGTAAAGCGCTTTTAGTGGAGTGTCCAGAAAAGTGCTATATAAGTGTTAACAATTATTATTATTATATAAATCAACACTTAACTGTGTGGATCCTGCACAATAGAATGTTTGGTAATCCAATATTCAATGTTCTGTTACTGGAATGATACAGTATAAGATGTCCTGAAATCAAACATTGGCAGTGCTTCTTCACAGCTTTGGGATACTGGACTTTTAGCTGGCCTCATCTGTGTGGAGTTTGCATGCTTGCTCCAGTTCTATGAGGGTTTTCTCCATATGCAAACTTTTCCTCCCAAACTCCAAACAAATGCACTCCAGGATATTTGGTGTCTCTAACTTGCTTCTTGAAAGTCTGTGCTTGCTCCCAACTGATATTTCACGTAAGATGTAGTCCAGCCTTGTGCCCTATGCCTGCTGTGTGAGGCCCTGTCTCACTGCGTCTCTCTAAGGACAAAGCATTAATAAAACTAAATGGAAGAGTGGATGAATCAAAGATGAGTGTTTTGAGTTTAGCTACAATCTAGAGAAATTATCAAATTAACATTCGTGGGTGTGTCATACTACTTAGAAAGCATTAACAATATACTTCTTTCTTTGAAGGATTCAATTTAACTCTTTTAAATTGTATTTTTTTATTTCTTATTGGCAATGTTATTGCTATTTTAGTCCTTTATAAGCTGAAAGCCTTCTCAATTGATAATGTGGATAATTAAAAACAGTGAGCAAAAATGAAGGAAGTATCTGCTTTTAAGATCCATGTAATGCAGACAGAGAAGGTACTTTTAACTGATCCATGGCTACATTTTTGTTTAACATATTTTCTCAACTAAAACCTCAATTGAACTTTTATCTTCTGGAACATATAGCCTACTGTCCAAGGCATTTTGTTAAACATTGTGACTCACTTTCTTTGAAATGGAGAAGGTTTATCCTCTTCATGATTGGGTGCCTGGAACAATTAAAATGTGATTTTCATTACCATATCCATAAAATTAAAGTTTTAATTCCTAAACTTGTTTTTCACCTATTGTGATCTATCGTCCCATTAATTTATTTTCTCTTTATATTTTTGTTAAAAGCTCACCTTTCCAACCCAGGATTGCTTCAAAACGAGATGTAGTAAGTCTTTGGTTTGTACATGAATAATATATATTTCAAATATAAAATTGAGAAATTAGATAAGTTTCCATGGTTTAATTACAAATGCAATCGCAATTATTAAAAATAAGTCTAAGTAACTGAAATGACATTATAATGTATATATGAAATATAGAAAGCATAGACAAATATATTTAAAACTGCAGGATCCTTTAATAATAGTCCTAGTCATGATATATAAGTGTTACATATTCTCAGTTACTTTTGGATTTAGAAACCAAAGCTAATTATTATAATAGGTGTAATAAAACTAATAATAGTGCTTGAATGTTGGATGTTTTTGTTCAGGTCTGTAGTGGAAAATGGAAATACTATAACACTATATATGAAGTATATTTATTGTGACAGACCCTTTCCTTTACCATAGCTGTCCCAAGAGTGAGTGCACACAGAAACTAACAACGGCCCAAAACTAAAATCCAGATCACCCCAGTCTCTCAAAAAAAAACTCCAATCCCAATTAGTACTGTGCGGCTCTTTAAAAAACAAATAAAAGCTCAATGGCACCTATGTAAGAATGTTTAATTCTCAACATTTCACCAATAATGCAATAATTAGATAATTAATTCCCTATGCGGTTATTCATCAAATTTAGGGGCTAAAATGTCGGCCTCTAGTGGAATGTCAGATGTAATTGCAGCACCCTTTTATACTGACCTGCCTCAGTCATCTACAAATGCATTTATACTTCTTGCTTTATTTTTTGTTTAACTGAGATTATTTGCCGGTTAGAGCTCCTTCAATTCATTCATAATAGTGTCAGATGTTCCTGTGAACTGTTAGATTAGTGCCAGTACTTCTGTCTGGTGAATTCATAAAATTTATATAGTAGAAGAAAGAACAATATGTCTTCTGAAAATGCGAAAGAAACTCTTTGTCAAAACTTTTAGTCAAGTATTACATTTTGTGTCTTCAGTCTTCAGTCTTTATGCTTGGATACTATATAATGGATTGTACCAATTTGTAATAATGCCTCTATCCATTAAATCTAAGGATTGTTTAAGGTAAAAAAATTAATTCAGGTCAGATTTAGGGTTAAGATCTTTATTTTCTTACCTTGCTGAGTCTTTCCTCTCTGCTCCTTGAGGTTAATCTGACACTAGCACTGTGAAACAGACCATAGTATACAAAGTTACATAAAGTTACAGAAAAGACTTCTCTTACAGCATCCATCACTGTACTCCCTCATCTTTCATAAAAGACTGACGTTTCATACACACTGGAGATAGGTTTGAAGGTAGTTAGCTGAGTTGGCTCTTGGAAAGGCAATGACTCCAGTGACTTCCTGGGCACCACGTCCAGTGGTCACTTCAGTGAAAACATGCCACCCCTCCAATTGGCACTAATCTTACTGTAAGATCCAACAGAGCTTGTGTCATGTCAATGGATTAATGGTTCCAGCTTGGAAGAGACTGGGTGTCTGAAGTCAGAATTAAAATTAAATCTTAGTCAGAACTTTAACTAAATCAGAACTAAAACTCATTAAACTCATTCATATTAGGCAACAGTGAATGTTTTAATTCCTTAAATGACACAGTTAATAAGCAAAGAATGACAAAGCATATTAAAGAAAATCTTTGTTGTTGAAACCTGTCCTTTCATTATTCAAGCAAATAATAAATACTATGTTACCAAGTAATAGCAATATGAACAAAGGAAAAACTGACAGACTTGAATATGTTTTTTTTCATTAAAGGTGTACTAATTAATTAAATATAACAATGAAGAAGATCGTTTTAAAATAATAACTAGTCACAGGTATTAAGTTGGTGGGAACATATGGGTAATGGAATTTGGAGCAGCAGTACATGTTCTCTAAGCTATGGCAACTAAAGACACTGGTCTCACTCACTGATTTGAACTCTCAGGGTGAAAGAAGCACACAGTTCCAGCAGGAACAGTAGACAGGTCAGAGAAGCCTATCTGCATTGATCCTTTCATTGTACAGTATCTACTTACAGTTTTTAACCAGTAAGAAAACAATTAAAGCTTGAAAGAAATTAGAGCCTGCATGTGTTTGCACATGGGCAAATAACAGTAAGAATTAAGTCTATAAATACGATATGTTTCATATATACAGTGCCTTGCGAAAGTATTCGGCCCCCTTGAACTTTTCAACCTTTTGCCACATTTCAGGCTTCAAACATAAAGATATAAATTTTTTATTTT